TTTGGAGAAAGTCTCTGATACTGCAGGCAGCTCAGGGAACTGGAGGGATGATGAACCATAGACTGGGTCAAAGGCATAACTGAATCAAGATGTGCAAAAGGATTGGGCTGGGGACACAGAGACACTTCTTCAAGTTGGAGGAGAAAAAAAACAGAAGTTGCTGATTTATGATTATAGGCATTTGCTAGTAATGAGGTTAAAAGTCTGACAGGTCAAATACCACAGAAGAGACTTCCCGTGAGAGAGTAAAAGATAATAAAAGAGAAGCAATAGTCTTTTTGTGCCATTACTTGGACTTTTCTAGTCAGGAATCAGGATCATGGATGAGTGTTTTGTCTAGAATTGACCTTTCCTATGCTGATCTTTAGCTTTCATTCAGGGAGACGTTGCATGTGCAGGTTTTCATGTTTGCATGTTCAAATCAGGCAAATTACCAAAGAAAAGTATTTTGAGTCGACATTCTTTGAGGAGAAACTGGAGAAGGACACAAATAAGCTAAAATCTGAGTTCTGTAGCAGCAAAGAGATGGGCTCCAGCTGTTCTGCAAAATCAAGCATGTGTTTTTGGTAAAGGTCTGTGATAAGAAATGGATGCTCTTATTTGCTGAAGTTAGCAATGCTAAAATTAATCAACTGCAGCAAAAAACTGATAGGATGCAGGGAAGATCTGAACTTAGTGGAATAGGATAGAGTGAATATTGATTTTTTTCCCCACAAAAGGCGTCTGTTTTGGCATTCATAGTAAAAAGAAACATTATCAAAGACAGCACTTTCTACAGTTTAGTGCTAATATACTTGACATGTTTTCTCGTTAGCTTATAAAAAAATATCACCTTAACATTAGTGTCTTGCTGTAACCTGGAATGGATATAGCCTGCATAGGCAAATTCAAGCAATAACTGTCCTAAATTGCTGTATTTTAAAAAAATCAAGAAGCTTATTGAAAGCATTTGTGTTGATATTTTTAGTCAAAAGAAAACATGATTCACAATTAGTGGTTAATTTGTAATTAGAAAAAAACATTCTGCTCTGAATGAGATGGGAATGCCATTTTTCTTCCCAAACAGGTGGTTAGTTGCTAGACAACATCCCTGCCCATGAATGCCCCATCTCCACTGCAGTCCTTCCAGTTTCCCTCCTGCTGCAACAACTGGGGAGGCTGCACAGCTGCAGCAGATGAAACAAAGAGCAGAAATTGGTATTTCCCCAGCTGTTCATGCTGATGCTAAAGGCTTCCCTCTGGAATAAAGCTAGCTTAGCTTGAATTGCCAAGTGGATATGCAGATTGATACTTTCCCAAGTGGAATCTCCTAAAAACATATTTATGCACCTGAAGGTTAGTGTTTGGTTTTTTTTTTTTGCAAAGCCTCAATTCTTCTGGGCCCTAGTGAACCTAGTGAACCATGACTTTGACCTCAGTAGGACACTCAGCTGGCCACAAAATTTTGGCGTACAAACTTTGGTAGCCCTTGCTTCCCAAAAGCAGCACATGGTTTGCCTTTGCAGAGTTGTGTGTGCCCCTTTATTCAGGGGTGGTGGGAGGCACTGTGGGCTGCAGCCCCATGGCCCTGGCCCCATGGAGCCTGGTTTTCCCAGGCTGCTGCCATACTCTGCAAGTGACCCCATCTGCAGTCACGGGAGGGAACATCTGCCTCGTGCCAGGCAATAGAGCATCAAGGACCAGGACACACCTGGTTCATCCCTGGTGTGTGTGTCCATAACACCTCACCTTGCCTGGGGTGTCTCACTGCATATGGCATTTTTGCAGGAGAGCAATAGGGGAAGTTGTCCAAAATTCTCCTTCCAAGCCAACACAGAAGCAGGGTTGTCTGCAGAGAAGGTGGGAGTGATGCTGCCTCTGCCACCAAGCCAGACACAGTTGGGGGTTGTTTACAGGCCAAAAATCCTGTGTCTGCCTGTGAGGATCAGGGAGGGAGAAAAGGCTGTCTAAGGACTGGGGGCCTGGCTTTGCAGCCAGAACAGACCTTTCCAGAGGCATAAAGCTGAGCAGTGGGATCACCTGTATCAGCTATACATGACTATTTATCATTAATCCAAGGTTATTGAAAGTACTGGTTTGAACTACCTGCACCTGCTGCTTCCCAAGAGTTCACACAGATATCAATTATGCAACAAAAGACCTTAATGAAAGAGAACAGTACAGCTGCTGCCCTGTGGGGCCATGTCCTCCTGCCTGGGGCCCCTCTCAGCCCCTCCAGGCAAGGGCAGCCCTGCCCTGGCTCTGCCCACCGCCAGCAGGGTGGGGGCAGTGGGATGAGATGGGGCACCCACCCAGAAACATCCACCTCATCCATTCTTACAGCTGATACTCTATTTATTTACTATTATTTTTACCTGGAACATTGATGTTTTGGGGAGAGAAGATGTTGAACCAAATACCACTCAGGTTGTTTCCAAAAAAGCTTAGCATGTGATGTTGAAATGCAGTTCTATGAATCATTTTCCTAGGATAAAACTTAGACCCAGAGCTGAATGGCAGGGAGGAGGCTGAAAAAACCTTGGCTGTGACACAAAGGAAGTTTCTGGGATGGTCAGGACCAGCTCTCAACACCACTGTGCTCCAGCAGCTCTAAGTTTCTTTGCCTCAATTTCCACTTGGATAACTTAGGTAGTTTCAAGAAACTGGTGCTTTCTCTGACCTCTGGAATTTAGATAAAATAATCTGGTTTTAAGTCTTACCATTTTCCTCTCGTTTTACTCCCAAGTTACCTTGCCTTTAGCTGCAAGGCTCCACAATACTCCAACCTCCTCCCTCGTGCCAGGGGGACAGAGTGCTCCATTTTGCCTCAATGATGGGCTCAGGTCAGCAGCAGCATGGTAGGTTTTCCCCCTGGACTCTGTGAAGAAAAGCAAGGAGGACACTGTTTGCAGCATCCTTGTTGACCTGTGGAAACTGAGTTTCCATCCACCTTGGCTCTGGAAAGAGGAAACCCCTGAGCCATCACAGCAGCCAGACCAACCAAGGACCTGCTCTAACCTTGAGAGCCAGTGACCTCAAGTATGGGAGCTGTTGAAGCCCAAGGTGCTTCTAAGCAACAGCTTCCTCTGCATGTTCTCCCTCAGGAAGGCTGCTCTTTACTTCGTGCTCCAGATATTTCAAAGCACCTTCTGAGTGCCTACATAGGAATTCTTCAAGATTTTGGCCTTACTGGCTTAAATCCAAGTTGAGGTATTCCCTGCAATAAGAGCTTATATTAATGAAAAATTATTTTTCAGTGCTTGACCATGAAAAGTTCTGGCAAGTGTTGCCTTGATTTCAGTGACTAATACAGGGATATTAGGAAAGAAATTTGCTGTCATACAATTTCATCTGAGCTGAGGTTAGGGCTTGGCTCTGTCAGTTTTCCCCTACTGAGGTGGTATAATATTAATTCAATGATTTTTTTAAGGCCTGAAAACTACAATTTGTTAGAGAATAGGCAGATCTTGTTTTAACCTGTTGCAGGTTCTGGCAAGATAAGCCCCAGGTTTGTGTTTAGGTTGAGGTGTCCTGAGGGGCAGATGGGGCAGCAGGGGCAGGATGCTGGTGCAGGGTCCAGGCTGCATCCTCCAGCTGCGACCTCCACTGCACCTTCAGTGTCCTGGGTTACAGTGAAACCAGGGGATAAAACCTCCCCAGTGGTGGACTTAGATGCAGGCATGCTGAGTCCTAAGGAACACACTGAAGAGGGATTAAAATGGATCCCCTGTGTCCTAAAGCCACTCCTGTCTGGAGCTGAAGGAGGAGCAGGCACAAGCCTGGCTGCAGTGGCTGCAGAGGGAGGAGAGGCCTGTCCTTCACAAGGCTTGGAGATCATCTTTTCCTCCTAGTCAGGATAAGCCAGTCTGGCTTTTAACAGCAGGGTGCCTGCCTAAATCACTGGCTGGTAAATTACATTTTTCTGTCTAGAATGAGGTAAATGTGTATTTTATCTAGGTAATTAATCTGAGGGATAGAACTAACATGATTATTGTGTTTTCTTTTCCCTCACTCCTGTCAATATGGCCATGTGGCATTTGTATCTCAGAGCCTTTATTAAACTGGTTTATTTGTAAGCAATCAAACAAGGAAAATTACAAGGACAAGGATGATTTTGTTCAGGCTGTCACCTTTATCTAGCACTAACAAGCTAGGAAATGACACTGCCTTTTATTGTCTTCCTGTCTCCATAAACTTGCTTTTATTTATTAAAAAAATAAAGCTCTTAAATAAGCAAAGAGGAACAGGCTTGGAAAATTCTGTGGACTCCAAGGTCCTTCTCTAGTTTTCCTCTGCAGGAACAAACATCACCTATTCCCCTTTTCCCACACACAGAACCTGTTCATTAATGTGTCAGGAAGCATGACTCAATCTGCAACTTTGTCAAGACACAGACAGGAAATTTAGGTGCTTGCATTACCAACTGCTACTGTTTGATAAATCTATCCCCCGTAGGTTTTGATAGGTGGGTGCCTTACCACAGGCTGCTTCTTTGAAAATGGTGGCTAGTAAGATATTCAAAGTAATCTTGCCATTAGAACCCCTTTGGGAGGGCACTGAGTTACCTGAGAGGAAAATGCTGTATGTTACTGGGGGCTAGGAGCAAAGCAGTAAGAAAGTGTTGCACCTGCAGCTCCAGCAGAAGTTAGTTACCCATCCATTTGTTCTGTATTCCCTGTCTCCAATGTGCAGTAAGTCCCTCCTATGTCCCCTTCAGCCAGAGCAGCCCAGGTATTCTCTGAAATGTGTCACTGTCACTGTCACTGTCACTGCCATGGACAGTGCTGGGGTCAGAGCTGGGCAGGGGCAGCCTGGCTGGACCCTGCCTGCACCCGGCCCTTCACTTGCAGCCTGCCCGAGCTCCAGTGCAGCACTGGGAGCTGGCCACTCACATAATCCACTCTCGTGGGGGTTTTAGAGTGGCTTTCTCCTTGGAATTTTATGGGTTTCAGTGCGTGCTTTCCAAAGGCTGAAGCCCAGGCACAGATCCCAGGTGCCTTGTGGCCAAGAGGCATCTGCAGCACTGCAGCAAGCACTGCAATCCAGCAATGATCTACCAGCTGGGAGACTAGGAAAACTGTTTTCTTCCAAGTTTCAAAAGCTTTAGGATTTGCTCAGCACATTTTTTAATTTTCCACACAGGTTTAAGTAACAACTGAAATTACTGTTTAGTGTGAGACTTGAGATATTTTAGAAATGACCACTCAGGCTGCTCAGAGATTTTAAATTTCATGTGAGGTAAATTCATTCTATATTTTAATTTTTGAAGGAGAGAAAGAAAATGATGCTATGGGACAGAGCTGGCTGCTTGCCCAGGGTGAGCTAAGTGACCTGGCCCAGCATGGACTGGAGAGTGGCTGGTCATCTCTGCTTTTCATGAGGGCTGCATCTTTTAAAAAGAATAAAATGAAAAAAAATTAAACCACAAGAAAATAAAATAATAAAATACAATAATATTGTAAATCAAAGTATTTACAAAGGCTCCTTTGATCTTCTCTTTCACAAATGAAGATCTTATACAGATATATGCTGATATGAACAAGAGCAACCTCATCAAAAGGAGTGTGTATCTCCTTCACCATCCCAAAAATGATTCTATGTTACAGCCATTTTATAAATCTAATGAAACCAACACACTTTTACTTACCAGTGTTGCATTAAAACACATAAGGATAACATAGCTGTTGAGACTTTGTTCTTACTCTGTATAGTTCACATATCTTGCATGGATGTCTGCTGTCCTCTTTAAAGGAAATCATGTTTATATGTCAAATGCAAAGAAAGAATAATTCTCTTCTGAAATGTCAATGGTTTCTTACTGAAAGTATTTCCCTGAAGCACTGAAACCCCAATACAGTAAAATATCACATTACATGAGAAAGTGGGACTGACTGTCAGAAATTAAAACCTCTGTTCATCCAGCCTCTGGTCATTGTTGACAAAGGGTTGAGACAGACAAACCCTGAAATCGAATATTCTCTGGAAAAATAACAGCAATAGTGGGTTAAATAAGTTAAGGAATTACTTAGTGCACAGAAGAGAATTGTAGAATATGTTGAAGGTTCTTCAGATTCTGTATTTTTCAGTCTGGAGGAGTGGAAGAAAGAAGTTTAGAAGAATCAGGCCAGAAAACCAGCTGTATCTTGGGCTGCATCCAAAGCAGCATGGCCAGCAGGCTGAGGGAGAGAATTCTGCCCCTCTGCTTTGCTCTGGAGCACTGTGTCCCCAGCACAGGAAAGGCAGGGACCTGCTGGGGAGAGTCCAGAGGAGGCACAGAGGTGATCAGAGAGGTGGATACCTCTCCTGTGCAGAAAGACTGAGAGAGTCAGAGTTGTTCAGCCTGGAGAAGAGAAGACTCCAGGGAGACCTTTCAGTAATTGAAGGGGGTTATAAGAAAGATGGGGACAGACTTTTTGAAGGGTCAGTTGCAACAGGACAAAGGAGAATGTGTTTAAACTAAAAGAAGTTAGGTCTGAGATTTAGATATAGTGAAGACGTTTTTTACAATGAGGATAGTGAAACAGTGCACAAGTTGCCAAGAGAGCTGGGAGATGCTCCAGCCCTGGAATATTCAAGGTCAGGTTAAATGGAACTCTGAGCAACCTGATGTGGTTGAAGATGTTTGTGCTCATTGCAAATAAGTTGTACTAGATGATCTTCCAACCCAAACTAATCTATGAATTTGTGATTCAGTGGGGTGTGTCTGTCTGATCTACATTACACCAGAAAGTGTGGTGTGCCTGGTTGCAATCCTAGGGTGACCTGCTGCTCTGCTTGAGGAAGAGAAAGGTCAGCAGTGTTGGAGCAAGTGGGCCTGAGCAAGAGGCTTTGAAGAGGAAGAATAACCTAGAGGCCAAGGTCCAGCCACAAGATCTGGACCTGGGAGTCCATCCTTGGTAAAACCTGTCTCTCCCCTTTATATCAGCACACTGTAGGCATTTGAGGATATGGACTCTTAAATCTGTTCAGCAGACTTTTTTCCAAATTTATTCCTTCATGATACTAAAAGCAATCAGTGAATATCTCCTACCTGTCATGATTTTAATAATTTCCCTTTCCTTGAAAATTAACTGTCATCTGTATTGCAGAACCTGAGATCTGACACTACAAATGAGGCAGAGAGTGGACATAACTCTATGCTTTTAATAGTCACCTTCATGCAGAATTTTCCTGTAAAATATATTTTTGCCTGACCTTTTGATTAGCAAGAAATTATTACACACTTGAAAAGAGATCAGGCTTTCTTTTGTGCCCCCTTTGAGGGATGAGACAGTGGCAGCTTGTGTTCTGGAGCACTACTTTCCATAGAAGATGACTTCTACTGTCCTTCTGAAGGACTGTCAAGTTATTCTGATTGCTATTTTTGATTCTGGTTTCAAATCAAGTCAAAAGTGCTCCATTTAATGCTGGCAGGGGGTTTATCCTCAATAGGCATGGCTTGCCCAAACCAGTTTAGAGATCATACATATTTTTTTTAAAAGTTACTGCTCCAGGACATATTTAATTGTTCTGCCTAATCCTGAACCTTGAATCCTTAAGCCCTAACCATCATACTCCTTAGCCTCTCCAAACCAGGGGTGGTATAAGCAGCTAGACACTCCTCTTTCCATCCACATAAATGAAAAGGAGTTATTCAGCCCCTCACCCTCTCTGACAGCTGATCTTATGAAGGCACCAATTGCAGCAACAGGGAAAGAAGGGGAACATCTGTGAGAGGAGGATTGCATGGGCATCCCAGCAGTGCCTCTGAGCAAACAGCAGTCACATCTATGTTGCTGCATGCCCATGATCTCCTGCAAAATTTGCCACCTATATGCTCATACTGGCTGGATGTCTCATGGTCTCATCAAGCAGCCCTGAAAACCCTGGGAAGCAGGGACCCAAACTCCCAGCCACTAACGGGAGTGTCCCTGCCCTCTGCAGGGCTCTGAGCACCCACAGCTCCCTGTGCTGACAGCTTCAGTATCTTAGTGTGGACTAAGATACAGTAACATGGGCTCAGATCCTTTTAATAGAAAAAATTAGACAGGGCAGCCCTTGGGTCACTTGGGGAAGCACACAGCGTGAGGGGAAGGGGTGCTCCCAGCAGTACAGTGCTGTGGAGCAGTGTGAAGGGTCCACATCAGCAGGGCACTGCAAGTCTGAGTGTGAGCATTAGATGGCTCAAGCCACGTGTGTGGAGAAAGCACCTGACACCTTACAAACCTGGGAGAGCAAGGGAGGTAAGCAGCACTTACTGGCCGTGTGATGATCACACTGTGCTTCCACGAGGTGAAGGAAGAAGCTGGCAGCAGCAAATCCCTGTTGGATGCAGTTGATGGGGATGGAACCACTGGGAGGTTGTGTCTGGGGGTACCCACACAAGCCCCCAGAGCAGGCATTGAAGCAGCCCTGCCTTCCCCTGGAGCTGCAGCACAGTGTTCAACACCCAGTTCTAGCAGGAAGACGTCCATGTTTCTCAGGGGCCTTTTGGTTTTGCAAGGGCATGAGGGAGCACTGTAGGACTGATGTGGGTACATGGAAATCTCAAGGGGACACTGTCTTTTACAAAGGTGCCCGTGTCTGGATTGAAAATCTACATAACATCGATGCTTGCCAGTCTGGGAACATTTTGGAATTGGCTGTGAGGGCAGCTTCCCTCTGTGACCTATTCCTCTCTTCCATGTCTGGCCTAAAGCTGGGAGAAGTCCAAATCTTTAAGTCCAAACTAAAGGGATTCCTGCTTTATTGTCATCTGGTTTATGAAAAGGCGGAGCTGGTGAGCTGTGGGTGTAATGGCTTCAGTCACACGGTGCCCTGTGCACATGGCAGCACACAGCTGGGCCTGGCACCAGCAGTTTGCCACTTCACCACAGCACCAGCTCTGGAAAGATTATGGGCTCTGGGGCCAAGGCATCCATCCAGGATGACAGTCCTCTTTTTCCTCCACCCCAAAGCCAGCAGCCAGAAAGACCAAAGAAACAACTCCCAACCTCAGAGCAGCAGTCTCTGCACTCTTGTGCTTGTGGCATTGTCCCTTTGCACATCAGAGCAGAAGGACAGCTGGCCTCGCCACAGGTGGCACACCCAGGGCATGTGCAGAGCTGGAGCCCCAGGCTGCCTGCCTCTCACCGCTCCCTGCCAGGTCCTGCCTCCCACGCTGCCTGCAAGGCAGATCCAGCCACGGAGCCTCTTGGCAGGCTCCCACGGGCTGCATCACTCATCAGCCAGCAGGAGCAAGCTGCCTGCTTTGGGCATGGCTGATGGCACTGGCTGCCCTGTGGCCTCCCTGGAAAAGGTGCAGCACATCTCCACTAGCACGAGTGGTGAGTGCTCTGCTCCTGCCCCAGTTTGCCATGCCCTGGTGCCAGGAATCACCATGCTGTCCCATCCCCCACAGCACAGATCCCATTAGGAACTTGCTTGTGGCAGACCTCAGGGGACTGTTCTACTGTTCCAGATTGGATGTGGAAGGGTGTGGGTGAAGGGTACAACCATCAGGCTGTGCTCTCAGGGGACCATAAAGTAATGCTTTGCACTGTATAGCTGGTGACCCACTTCTGACCTTAAGAAGTGGGACCTGGAATGCTCAAGCAAAGCATAAAACTCAGCGCCTTAAGCATGAGCTCATTAGGAACTTCCTGAGAGTTGCTCAGCCACATCCAGAGCAGAGGGCAGTGACCCTGCCATGGCTTTGAAGAGACCTGAGTGACTGGCAGCTTGTCTGAAACACTCGAATTTCCCACATTAACCAATATTCCAGGTCTGCCACAAATTAGGTCTCACTCTCACCCAGCAAAGTCACCTCACCAAATTAACACAGCTGCAGGGATGGATAAAAACATGGACCTTGACATTGTCTGCATGGCACAGGAGTTCTGTCAGGCCTTGGGAATCACACTCTGGCTAATGTGCCAGCATTACCCCTAGAGGGTCAGAGGTCTGAATGTGAATGAGCAGCTGTGACTGTGACTTAATCCTTCCCAGAGTATTTTAAGTGATTTTAAACAACTTTTCACTTCTGAGCTGCTGAAATTCTCATGGGAAAAGCATTCTAAAATAATTCCAACTCACAGGAATGTGTCTAAGATAGATGCTGGGAGGCTTATTGTCTATGTATTTAGGGAAAATAGATAATCTAATTTTTGGAGTCCAACTAAAGTGAAAAACTCTCAGCATTGCTGCACCATAGAGGCTCCTGCTCATCTTCTCTGTACTGGTGGCTATCTCCACGTAGCATCAGGCATCACAAGTCCTGGCCACAGAGTCTTCAAATGGAGGCATACAGAATTTAAGCTGATTTTTAAAAAGTATGGTTTAAGCTATATCAACCTCTCAACACCAGGTTCCTTACCTGTTGAAAAGAAGTGTGGTATCAATGCACTGATGATGTGCTACTTTTGTATTTGA